TATGTAGTATAATAGAAATTTAAATTTAAGTTACAAATATCAATTATAATAATTAAATAAAATCTAAAAGGCAATTATTCTATTTCAAAATTCTTTAAATTACAATGTAATTTTAGTACGTTAGAAATATTTTCCTATTTTTTTCTTCATTATATTTCTCCATTTGATTGTAATCGTTAAAATTTATATCATTATCAATAATTATGTTAGGTATCAAAATATCCATTGTATAAGGAAAGGAATAATGAAAGAAGAAACGCTGAGCAATTTAAAATGAATGCTTGTTGAATGGACATAGTACGGATAGCCATATCGGCTATATAATGATGCCCCAATGTTTCCTTTGATCGAATCAGATCATTGTAGTATGGATTTATTTTCGTAATTACCGCATCAAAATTTATGATACCACCAAAAAGTGGTGCTGCAAAAAATTATGTATTACAATGAAAGAAAGTGTAGTTATTGATTTATTCAATTCTACCTATAATTAGTCTTAATTATAAATTATAGTATAAGCATATTTATTTGACGATTTACAAAAAAAAGAAATTAACATTTAAGAATTTACAGGAATGCTGATCTTTTTTTTTTGATTTAGATTAACTGGTTGATCATACAACACTATTATAACTCTGATTTTGGTCATGATAACGCAGAATCCTTTACAATTTATATCCTATAATTCAATTCTAGCCATTTAACCTTAGCCGTTTGACCTCCAGATAATGAAAACTTACCACTATACGTTGAAAATGGCGCTCTTGCATGAATATCATTGCATTTCTTTTTACGATTGCAAATACAGGTCGTCTGATTCACGGAATCTTCGCAAAGAAGCGTAGCTCCTACACGTGTCGCAAGCAATTCGGCACGTTGTCGTGAAAATGTTAAATCGGTAAGTTGCCAATCGGTTAATGTTAAACAACCAGCCATATATTGATATACCGGACAATTTTTACACTGTCCTCAAATATTTCGTTATATGGAGCATTTTCCGGTTTACTTTATCCAGATTGATTTTCATTTCGTTGAAATATTCATCAACAATACTTATATTTAATTAAATTTATAGGAGAACTTACATCTTATTATCAATATATAGCACAATTATTTAATTATATTATATGATTTAGTATTCCATAGATTCACTGAATGCTAAAAAAAGGCCTTTTATTATCAGTTAAAAATTTAAACTAACATTTAAAATCATTTTCAAAACTATTTCCTGTAATTAATGAAGTATTGTTTTAAAAATCTAATAAATGTTTGAAGATATTATGTTAATACTCAGAAATTTCATCCGTACCTTCGGAAATTATTAAAATTTGGAAAAGCGTAAATTATTAGGAAAACATAAATTAATTTCTAAAATGAGTAAATTGTAAAGTTGTGGGAAACAATTCAAAAGTTGAATAATATTTGAAACTTTCTAAGTTTTTTATTTGCAAAATAAATTTTCTGGAAAACAAAGAAATTAAAAAAATATTTTAGGAAGAATAGTAAAATGTACGATAAAAATGCTTCAGTGATTAATAATAATAAATTTTATGATTAAGAAATTTTGATGTGATTTGTTTTTCCCTTTTAAAGTAATGCAATCATTTCAAATGAAAAGTTTTTTTGGAAAATATGCAAATTTAGCTCATTGGCTTATTTTTGCTTAGAAATATATTTTTGATGTAATGGGCAAAATTAATTGAAATTTCAAAGAGATTTTCAAGAAAGTATTATCTAATAATGATCAGTTTTGAAAGTATCACCTAACAATGATAAGCTTTGAAAGTATCACCTAACAATGATAAGTTCTGAAAGTATTATCTAACAGTGATAAGTTTTAAAAGTATTACCTAACAATGATAAGCTTTGAAAGTATTATCTAACAATGATAAAAGAAATTTCAAAGGGAAAATTTTATAACCGAAAAAAACATACTCATAAAGCAAACATTGCCAGTACAGGTAAGTGAATGCGGTCCACAAATAGAATGAGAATCTTTAGCTAGCATATGCCATGGTTGAATACATTGTTGACATGTAACAGTTGGAAGTTGCCGATCCAATTCGAAATCATCGGTTAAACCAAAGAATGAAATTGAATTTTGAACAAGCGCACAATGAACAATCACCAAAAAGGATGTCACCATTAACAAATTTCGTATCGCTCTATCACGTAATTATTTCTTTATTTAAACAACCTGTAAAATGCTTTAATTTAATTTATTCATTTATTAAGAATATAAATTATTCAAATTTTGATCAATTCAAATTATCATTTTTAAAGTATTTAAATTTTAAGTTGAAGATAATATAATAACTTCTAATTTTTAATTTATTCTATTTACTAATCAATCCTATCATTAATTCTGATTATCTCTCATTTTTACTTCAATATATTAAAGCCTTTAAAAAAAATAAAAAGAGCTTTAGCATTGCAATCTCATTATCATTATCATTAGCATTACAATCTCATTATCATTATCTCTAGCATTACAATCTCATTATCATTGGGATTCTCATTATCATTATAATCTCATTATCACTATCTTTAGCATTGCAATCTCATTATCATTATTTTTAGCATTACATTCTCATTATCATAAGGTTAAGTTAAAAATAAAATATTCCAATTTGAGCTTTAAAAATTTTTTCAAAGATAAAAATACAAAAAAGCTTAATCATTTTTTTGCAGATTAAATAAGTTTAATAAAATAGAAAAAAAATTTGGAAATAAATATTTTATTAGATTTATTATTTTATTAGAGCTCATTTATTAAATATCAATATTTATACCTGTCTGTCTCCTATTTTTTATTTGAAATCAATTTATTAAACTCATTTCAAAATTTCATTTTATTAGAAGCAAACTTTTTATTTTATTATTAGTACCATAAGTAACCTATTGATAATAACAATATTATTTCAATTACTATTAAATTCTTTTCATACTTTTATTTTCTTCTCTCTCCTAACACTCTTTATTTCGCATTTTTTAGATAACAAATTTAGTAGCAGCAAAAATGACTGACTCTGTCAATAGTGAAATAATGAAAAAAAGATAAATCTGTCAATAATGAAATAGTGCGAACGAAATTTGCTTAAAGATAAAATGCTAATTGAAATTTAAATAATTCATTTGGACAAAAAGAAGAATGTAATGTTAAAAAATGAAGTATTTTAGGAAAGGAAAGCTGCAAATTAACTTTCTTTCAATTATTGAAATAATTATTTCCTTTCATTATCAATCTAATCAATTAGCATATAATTGAAATAAATGGATTAAAATTAAGAATTAACAAATTTGAATTAATTTCATTGAAATTAACATATGAACACATAAACTGTCAATTGCTAATTAATAAGTTATAATTAGTAATATAATTCTAAATGATTAAATTATTGTAAAATATAATAAAATTAAATTTAAAAATAAAATGAATTATGTTTGAGTATATTTTATTCAACACATAGAAACAAACTTTTCCAACTTTATTATCTCATTAAACTTATAATTAAAGTTACGAAATTAATTTCTATTTTGAATAATGTTAATCATTTTATTTTAAAGTGCGAATAATTTTGCATTAAAATAAATTAGACTAAAATATATAAAATATAATAAAAAATAAATTAGACTAAAATTGGATAATTTTTATCACTGTTATAAGAGAAGAGTGATAAGCCATACATAATAACTCATCGATCGCTTTATCATTGTTAAATTAAGATAAAGTAAGTGGATATGAAAGATTATCATAGAAATAATAATTACTAATTCTAATCAGTTCAATAATCAATAATTTGTTTTTGCATACGATAATCAATTCATAAAGAATATATGATAAAAAATAAATTAGATTAAAATTGAATTAATTTTTATCACTATTATAAGCCATACATGATAACTCTTCAATCATCTTATCATTACAAAATCAAAACGAAAGAAAAATGGAGCAAAGCAAATTATTTTGTGACAACTTATCCAACTATATCTATTATTCATAAATAATCGAAAATTAACGAAAGTCGTAAGTTTAAGAAATAATGATAGATTTGAGAATTTAAAAGAGAGTGGCATTAATTAATCCTCAAAAAAATGTATATATATATGATCGGAAAGGATATTACTATTGCTAAGAGATTTAAATTAATCATCAATTTCAAATTGAATTCTTATCAATCAATCTGACAACAGCAAGAAGTGATCAAAGATATCTTCTAAACAGAAGCAAAAAAAAAAAGATTTTATGCAACATATTAATAATGAAATTTAAAACAAAACAACAACAACAACAACAACAACAACAACAAAATTGAAAAAAATTCCAACTTTTTTCTCATTATGAAAATTTAAATTTCGAAATTTTTTGTAATACTGAAATGATAATTTTAAAATTGAAAAATTTTTCGTTTGCTTAATATTTTAGCATTTTCACAATTTATAAGATGAAAAATTCCCATATGATAGTTGAAAATATTTGCATTTGCAAGAATTGTCTTTCAAAAAAGAAATAAAAGATTCACACAAATATAAATTCATAATTTTTCCACTTAAACTTTTCCAGAGAAATCAAAAATAAATTTTGAAAGCGATTTGAAATTGCAAAATTGATGATAAAGTGATTTTAGAATTGCATGAAATTCAATGTTAAACGAATGCATGCAACAAATCATTCTGCATGCATTTGTTGAAGAAATGATTTATGATGCTAATCAATTTGATTATTAACTTTAATCTACCATTAGCAACTATTAGTAAGTGTAAAATTGTGAAGGATGTTTTAATTAAAAAAAATTATAATTTATTTTCAAATTATAAAATTACTTTAAATTAAAAATACAAATATTGTATTAATTGGAATATTTGATTAATTCCTAATTTCTAGGAAAATTTTAAAAACTAAGGTTATAAGTAGCAATTAATAAATTATTTGAATAATCTGTTCAACTTTAATTCTCTTTTGTTTCTGCAATATGAAGACTTTTACCGCCTTTCATTTAACATTAGAATAAGAAAACATTACGGAAGATATTTAATTTTTGCAAAAAGTTCATTAAATTTCATTTCTTATGACAGATTACTATTATCCTACGATTGAATAAGAAAGGTCATGATTCTTGATGACCCTAATAATCATCTGATCGAGAAATTATACAATTTCGTTTTTTTTTCAACACTTCTTGCATTTCTATTACGCATGTGCTTGAATTGAATATTATGAATATTCCATTATCATTTCCAATAAATTTAATTCAATCAGTTAATGTATGTTTTAACAATATTCTAAAAATTATTCTATTATTCCATTTAAAGCTATGGAAAGTTTATTATCTCTTTCCTTAGAGTTTAATTAATTAATTAATTAGTCGATTATAAGAGCATTTCAATGTAAACGCAAAAATATGGAAATGATAAGGAAATAGAAATGCAGTATGGCATATATGTAAATTAATACTTTATAAAAATTGCATCAAACCGAAATAATCATTTTGGATATAATTAATTAATTACAGTATATGATATTATAGGTAAAAAAAGTAGTCTAAATGAAAAACATATTCATTCCGAATGAGGTCTGAATACAGTAATTTAAGACCTTCAAAAGTTCTCTCTTATCACAAAAATTTGCAACTTTAGAGAGTTATCTTTTTTATCACAAATTTGCATAATTTTCCATCCTAAAAATAATCACTGAAATCAAACAAATATGTAAAGAAAAATTTCAAAAGTGATTTCCAAGAAAAATTCATTAATTGCATAGCAATGAGTTAGAACATTGCAAGAGCTCTCCCTCCCTCTCTCTCTCCCTCTCCTCGATTACAATCATTAGCATGGCTAAATATTTGTATAAGAAAGAGAGAGAGAAAGAGAAAGAGAGAAAGAAAGTTTTTTAGTTAGAAATAAAAAGTGAAATTAAATTGTTAAATGGTTGTTTAGATGAAAATCATTTAATTTTATCAGAAGTTTTTTTGATGACGATCGATCGATCGATGCCATTCTTACAACAAAAAATTATTTCATGACAATTATAAATTAATACTGCCTGGAAATTGGAATTAGACGGTTCAAAGAGTTTAATGAAATTGTCTGTCATTACGAGTGAATGTGTCAATTCTTAAAATGAGACTATTTCATGAGAATATTTGTTAGGCTTAAAAAAGTCGACAAACATTGCCTAAGCAAATTAACAAATCATAGAATTTGCCTTCAAACATTTCATTGCCATATTTATGGAATGATCTTTCGATAGAAGGCATTTTCAACCCTCCAAATAGATTATTATTATTATTATTATTATTATTTGTTATTAATATTATTGTTATTATTTATTATTATTGTTGTTTAGGATATTTCATGCTATTTATCCTATAGTTAATAACATAAAGTTCCTTTGAGAAGTTTATTCACTGCAGAAAAATGCTGAAGTT